TAAAGAAACCATTTGTTCTGAGCTTTTTCTATTCATTATTTCGTATATATTAAACTTTCATTTATTGCTAAAAATAAATAATAACAGACACTTTGTTTAAGTGCACACTTTTGTCGCTTTTTTGCTGCGTGTCCTGGAAGAAAACGAGGGAATTACAAAAGTTTTTCATGTCTTCAGACAAATCTCATTAAAAGGCGTCGCGTCTTCGTGTTGAGCCCGCAAGGAGTTGGAGTCGAAGTCCAAAAGGAGTCCCTGGCCATGTTCCAATCCATGTCCAAGTCCATCCAGAAATCGTGGCCCAGTCATCGGGCCAAGTTGTGGTTTTGACCCTTTTTTCCCTTCATATTATTGTTGTTGTTATTCTCATTTCTTTCTTTTTTTACATTTTTTGTTACCGGCGAGAGGCGTTGCATTTAAAATGTCGTTAATAATTTGTTGCTCGCTCTGGAGCAAAGGGACTGCCAGAAACCCAGAAAACCCTTTTTTCTTCTGGCTTTTTAGAGCTTGTCGTAAAAAAAGTTTTATTATTTTTGTTTCGTTTTCATTGCCTTCAAAATAGGATTAGCCTGTTGCGGCTTGGCCTCTTTTTGCGTCTTGTTTTTGGTTAATATTTAGGTTTTTTTACAAGATTTTTTTAGTTATTTTTGTAACTTGGTTTTCTGCTCTGTTGGCACACCAAAAAATCGCTTAAATATCTACATTTTACACGCTTTCGAAGTATTTTGGTATATGGTTTTTTTTTTTGGGTTATAATCCTGAAAATTGAGTCTGTGGTTTACTTATTTGGGTCACCTACTTACAAGGATCTGTGATTGATTTTTGTCTGGGTGTGGTTTTTATATTTTTAAATAATTTTGTTTAACCCTTTTATCTTATATTTTCTTTACTTATTTTTAAAGAAAAATAGGTTTGTATTTCTTTAATTGCTTTGTCTAATTTTTTACAGAGAAAATGTCTTAATAAATAGCTTTATTTGGGTATTAAAAAGTACATTTTGTTAGCTATTTTCATTTATTAATATATTTTTAGATTTTAAGTCATTAAATTATCATTCAAAGACATTTCCCTAGCTAGCTTTTAAATAAAATTTGTATTAATCATTATAAATCAATAATAAATCATATTCTATATATTTTCTCTAATTTTCCTTCTCCATTTTTCCATCTCCTTACATAATCCCCAATTTCTTTCCACTCTCACTTCCTTCCTGATGATTTCCTACCAAAAATAAACCCGTTTTAGCCTGATTTAAGGCTAAAGAAATGTAAACTAATTAACTTGCACAGCGGTCGAATGGATCGCAGTATTGACAGTGGGTGGTCCTCTATCTTTCCTACTAAAAAAAAAACAAAAAACCGCTAGAACCAAGAACTGTGAGCCGGAAAAAAATTAGTTAACAAGATCATTAAATCTTTGTTAACAGGCCAACGACAACAGAAAGAGTCCACAGTCTTTTCCAGCCTGTAGAATTAGAGGAGGACGTCATGGGCAGAACCAACGACGTGCGATAAGATAACAGATTCGGAGCCAGGCACCAAGATCCAGACAAGGTTTCCCCCTAAGAGCCAGAGTCAAAAGTACCTGGACATGGCCAATGTAAATTAGAGTATATCAGAGGCTCAGATACAGCAGAGGGGGTAAAAATAGTGCAGCAATAAATAAATTTAGTACTAGAAGAAGGTGAACAACTAATGAAATACATTTTGAACATTTTAAACTTAAATTTTTAAGTATTTTATATTTTTTTTGCCCTTGAAATTAAAGTTATTAAAAATTATTGAGTAATTTATTATCAATGTAATTAAAAATTATAAAGAATTTCATATAATGCATTGGATTTTCGAACTTAAAAGATAAATTTATGTATAAAAATATACTAAAAATCCTATATTTAATTATATTCTTCAAATATTTTCATTTAATATTATATGTACTATCCTATATTCATTAAATATTTTTAGTTAATATTCTATTAATACTCATGCATCCCTAAAACTAGCTTAACCTGAATTTATTTTATATTTTATTTGTTTAGTATTTTTATTTAATGTATTATTTATTTATTCTCTAATTATTATTATTTTATTTATTTTTACATTCTTTATTATTTATTTATTTATTTCTCTATTTCTCTTATTATTTTTATTATTTTTTTATAATCTCAAATTCTCTAACTATATTTTTTTATATAATAATATAAAGATTAAAGATTATAATCTTTAATTATTTTATTTATAATCGCTAAACCTATCTAAATGCCCTGCACTGTTTGCCAAACCCAAAAACCTGTCTCTAGAATTGCACATGTTTATCTATTAATTTATGCTGGCGGTTTTTGTTGTTTTTGTATTTTTTTTGGGTTCCTCGTTTGCCAATCTCAGTGGGATCGCACTTGTGCTCGGATAGTCCACAGCTTCCTGGGAATTCCAGTTAGTTTTAGGACTGTGGGTCAAGGGACGAGGGACGAGGATCTGCATCTGGATCTGTGTCCTCGAGCACAGCAGTGGCCCTGCCACAAGGGACAGGCGATTGATAAGAACGCTAATTAAGTTAAATGCCAACCGTGTGTGTGGCTTTTCTACACAGAGAAGAAAATACTATTGCATACTAATGATTTCTAAAAATGTTTCCTAACATATTTAGGTTTTTCTGTATAAACATAATTAAAATAAAATCAAAATAATTAGAATTTTTAATTAATAGTTTTTAAAAATAATTCATTATTTTGATATTTAATTTTGTAATTAATAAATCATTCAAATTTGTTATTATTTATTGGGAATATATCAACTTTTTGGAACTTATAAAATGAAAAAAAATTTCTATGTAAAATTAAATAGTTACATATTTAACAATTTTAAATCAATAAATTTAAAATATTTTTACTCTGTATTACTATAATATAAAATATAAATGTATTTAAATTACATTACAGTAAAAAATAATATTTTACGTAATTTTAAGACCAATATTTCATGGTTTAATTTTGTTTTAATTGTTTATTTGTTTTATATAAAATAAATAAAATTTATTTTTTTACAAAATTGTAAATTGTATAATTAACAAATTCGTATGTATTGTTATCATTATTATCAATTATTTTTATCTGAGCAAAAAAAAATATCAAAATATGTATGTACATATGTATATTTTTAATAAAAACCCCAACAAATGTATATCACTAAAAATAATCCCAGTGTAAAAGAGATTCCTTGTAAAAATGACATTAAATTGGCACAGCCATAGCTACTCTTTTGATTTATGTGCTGCAATCGGAGAACGGCAACACCTCTTAACTTATCTTATCTCGCCGAAGAGAACACTTTCGCTTTGTGTTTGTTTTGTGCTTGCTTCGTGTTATTGTAGTTGTTCTTGTTGTTGCCATAAACATCTGCCACTTGCATGTGCGTGTGGCATTTTCCACTTGAGAACCTCAACACGATCCTTAATTGCTACATACATGTATCCTAGATCCTCCCAACAAAAAACAGAAATAGATTTAAATTAGATTGAAAATATTTAAAGTCTGCATTCGCAGAGAGCAGCTATTTTGATTTAAGAGCGCTAGTGAAACAAAATGGAAATGGAACACAAAAGTAAAGAGTACAAGGCAAAAGAAGAGCAGAGAGAACCCGTTTTGTTGAAGCTCTTCGAATGCAAAGAGTTGCGTAAATGAATTAACTTTACTCTTTCACAAGAATTTCGATTTAAAGCGGAAATGAGAAGTAAGCAAAGATTAACTTGATATAATTATGTAAATAAATACAAATTAAATAATATAATAATATTTCTATTAATATTTCACTAGTATTATGCGTATTCTGTCAAGTACAAAAAATGCAGAACATTTTAGTAAACATTGATGTGCATAAACGACATGTTTAAACGTGATTTATTGAAGAAATAGAGTTTGGACATTTTAATCAAATTAAGTTACAAATGTATTTGTATTTGTTTTTACACATAATTTATTATATCTTGAAAAGTCTACCTCATTTTACAGTTACAGAAGTTAATTATCAAAATTCGTATTCCAAAAAACATTTTTCCCAGAAAAAGGGACACATTGTTTTTTTGCCATTAACTCTTTGTAAAATATTCTTTCAACATTCTGCGGTCTCTCTCTCTTTCTCTCTGGTAACTGTAACTTTTTGGGTTAACTTACTAGGTAAAGTTACCTCACTCCTTTGAGTGCAAACAAAAACAACAACGAAAAAAACGGTTCATTAATGCCGTAAGCTACCTGTATTTGCTATTTGTCCTTTGACCTTCATTCCGCCTACCTGGCACCTCCTATTTTCTTTTTTTTTCGCGTTCCAGTTATCTGGTCAGCTAATGAGGCACCTGATGATAATGATACCATAAGTGTAACCCTCATTTGCGGCTAATCCCCACGCACCTCAAAAAAAAATAGAGTTTGGTTATCCCGAAATTTAGAATTTTCCATTTAGACGTAATTTGCCCCTAAGCATTATGCAGGCACGATCTTTGGCTCTCTTTCGTGGCTCCAAGCTTCTCCTTATTGCGCAGCGAACTCAACTCTCTGCGCTCACACACACCTACACCTAGGGTTACCTGGTGCGATATATAGTAAACACCAGTGCAATTATAACGGCATCGGGCTTCGTTCGATTGGTGCAAGTGTACGAAGTCGGCACGTGAGTGCTTCGTACATAAACATGCCGAAACCTGTTTGAACGCCAAGCCCTGCCATTGGTCGACAGGCGGCTACCTGAACGAACATGTTCTCTCCCGCATAGTGGTGTGCGCTCTCTGGCTCTCCAGGCAGCGCTGTCGCCACCACCGTGACTATAAAAGGCCAACGGCGGCGACCAACTCGCTCAGTTCTCTTCGAGATCCCAACAAAAAAATAACATTCTTTGCAAGCAAGCAAACGGAACATTTTTCAAAACGGCAAACGCGTTACAACACGTACAACTCTGTGAATTAAAAGAAAAAAAAAAAAAAACAGTGTATGCACACCCAAGAAATGTGGTCACACTAAGTATAAACAGTGACTGTGAAACTTTTTCAAGAACTTTTACAAATCAAAAAGAAGCAAAGCAAAGTAAAAAAGAAAAATCGAGAAAATGCATTCCGTGGAAGACATGTTGGTGGAGAAAAACTACAGCAAGTGCCCGCTGAAAAAGCGACCCGTAAACTATCAATTCGAAGATCCTGAACCCCAGGATCTGTGCGTTAAGAAGCTGGAAATAACCGAGGAGGAAGAGGAGGAGATGGACCATCCCTCCGAGGAGCTCATCAATGTGAGCGATTGCTGTGAGGACGAGGGCGTCGATGTGGATCACACGGATGAGGAAATGGAACTGGAGGAGGATGAAGAAGATGAGGATGTGGATGTCGATGTGGATACGGATGCCAATCAGACACAGGCGGCCGCTCTGGCAGCCGCTGCTGCCGTAGCCGCTGTGGCCAGTGCCGCCTCCGTATCCGCTTCCGTTCCCGGATCGGTGATAATGCCCACACCCACATATCCGAAATATCCCTGGAGTTTCCACATGTCACCTTACACAGCTGAATTCTATCGAACGATTAACCATCAGGGGCATCAAATCTCTCCCCTTCGAGGTGATCTCATGGCACCCAGTTCACCCAGCGATTCTTTGGGTTCCCTGTCACCGCCACCGCATCATTATCTGCATGGCAGAGCCAGCTCTGTGTCGCCACCCATGAGATCTGAGATCATCCATCGACCCATTGGAGTGCGGCAACATCATCATCATCATCAGCAGCAGCAGCATCAACATCGCTTCTTGCCATATCCTCCCATGCCCAGTTATCCTGCTCTGGGTGGCTATCATCATCATGCTCCTATTTCACCGGCTTATTCCGAGAACTCTTACTACTCCATGCGCTCCATGACCCCAGAGTCCAGCTGCAGTTCCTCTCTGCCCGAGGATCTATCTCTAAAGCACCTGAAGAAAACCCTAAAGAGTAATCCACAGCAGAATGAGCTCACGCCCACCAAAACGGGGGATGTATCTACATCATCATCATCATCCTCGTCAGCAGCTCCTGCAGCCAGTCCTGGCTCCTCCAAGAACAACAAGGATAAATCCCAGCCACCACGCTACCAGTGTCCCGATTGCCAGAAAAGTTACTCCACCTTCTCTGGCCTGACCAAGCATCAGCAGTTCCATTGCCCCGCTGCCGAGGGCAATCAGGTGAAGAAATCCTTTAGTTGCAAGGATTGCGACAAGACCTATGTCTCTCTGGGCGCCCTCAAGATGCACATTCGCACCCACACGTTGCCCTGCAAGTGCAATCTCTGCGGCAAGGCCTTCTCCCGACCATGGCTCCTCCAGGGACACATCCGCACCCATACGGGTGAGAAGCCTTTTAGCTGTCAGCATTGTCATCGTGCCTTTGCCGATCGCTCCAATCTGCGTGCCCATCTCCAAACGCATTCGGACATTAAGAAGTACTCCTGCACCAGTTGCTCCAAGACCTTCTCCAGGATGTCGCTGCTCACCAAGCATTCGGAGGGCGGTTGTCCTGGTGGCAATGCCAGCGGCAGCGGTGGATCCTCCAGTGAGATGTCCTATGGCGGCTATGCCGAACCCTAAGCATCATCATCATCATCATCAACTAGAGAGATCCCAGCCATGTTCCACCAAAAATTAGTTCCTAGCTCTCTCTTAGGCAGCTCCAAGTTCCAAAACGACGAAGAAATGAACAAAAAGTCCCAGTGCAGACACACACAATTTATTTCAAAACTGAATTTCTATTTTTTATTTTCTAGTCAGCATTTTCTCAGAAAAAGAGGAAATTAAAAACGAAAAAAGCAGAAAATTACATTATAATTTCATGAATTTCAACATTTTGTAGAGATCAGAACTATTTCCTTTACCCAAATGGAGTGTGTCCCCCCTTTTTCCTAAATAACTGAACTTTGTAAAGTATTCTTTGATTTATATCCTGTACATAATGTATTATGTCTAACTGTAGACTTTAAGCGAAACAACAAATTAATAATGAAACGCCAGACAATCGTAAGCTGTAAATGTAAAAGACACATACTATTTACTATACAAAAAAAGAAAAATATCTCTCCCTATTTTATACGATATATATATATATAGTATCTTTTAGCTAAGCTCGTAGATCGTAAAATATTTTTGATACTACCTAAAAACTACTATTTACTTACTACCTACTACTTTTCGTACACATTGAAAATGTGTTCTACTTTTTAGTCTTAAGCGAGCGACATATTTTGATACGGAAAATGTTTTGTAATTTTAAGTAATTTATTGAATCAAGTGGAGAATGAAGAAAAATACATTTTATTTACAAATCAGAATTATAACTCTGTGTTTATTATTTGGGGAAATTTGTATAAAGATTTCTTGTATTTCAGATGTGGTTTGGTTTAATAATTAAAAGGATATAAACAATACTAAAAAATAATATAATATATAATTAAAATAAACAAAATATCTCTTTGATTATGTAAAAATCAAACATTTACCCGAAAATCAGTTTAAAATCAAGGAATATTTTAGATATTTTAAAATGTTCGAAGTTCTTGTTTATAAATGAAAAGGTATTAGAAACCCATCTTATTAATGTGGAATATTTAAAAAATATACCATAAATAGCTAAAGAATTATTTAAATGACATTTTTAAATTCTGCAAATTCAAAATAAATAAATTTTATAAATTTATATCTTCAAAAATTCTTTAAAGACTTCAAAATATTTATTTCTTCTTGAATTCCTTGAACCTTTTGAGAATATTTTTTTTTTCCAGAAAACCCCTTGAAAAATGGTAAGTATAATGTATTTCTAGAAATACCCATTGAAAATTGTATCATACAGTTTTCTATCAAATCTTTTAGAAAATTATAACTATAATCATTTTAATACATTTTTTTTAATACATTTATTTAATATTTTGATCATATTCATCTTTAAAATACCATTTCCCTTACCCTAATTTTAAAGAACATTCTATGGAATCCAGCAAAGTCGTGATTATGCTTCACATACTCCCCCCATTCTCCCCTTTTTTTGGGTCATGCTCCTCTTTTTTTCCAAATAAATAAACAAATCGAAGCAAATCGATGTTGCTGAGGAAATGGAGAACCTCCAAAGTCAATCAACCAATCGCTACATTTAATGGCCTGCCTGGTCACAGCCAAAAAGCAAACATAAGACGCTTTTTATACGCTATGCTGATCATAAATTATATTTAAATTTCTGCTCACGTACAGGCACGTACAAAATGGCAGTCACTAAATCAAGAGGCCGGGCTTCAGGCCTCAGTAAACCCGCTTCCCAACCCACCAAAAAAAGGTCTTATTAGACATGATCTTAATGAGAGAGCAGTGAAAATGTAGAGTCCACAGATCACCAAGTGTGATCGATGCCTCCCTCCAGTCAACCGGAAAAGCTCTGCATATACAAACACATGCATATATAAGATCGGTGGAAATCATAACGTTTGGGTGACAGAGCATATGAAATTATGGGTGCGTCCTCTTTGGAGCCAAACGAATCGAATCGAAACGTAACGAAAACTCATTATCGAGATCAATCGATCGACTTGAGGAGAGCATACATACATACATATATAGTCTGCTCCCAGGTCTTGGAAAAAGCCCTCCTGGAACACACACACATGTGTGTGCGAGTGTGTGCCGATCCGCGATCATCGGCATCACTAGATCGACGACCACGACAATTGTTGCCAAATTAGATCATCAGGCAGCTGAGCTCAGAGAGCAGGCAAACAGGCAACAGAGGAAACCAGGGAAAACAGCAGAAAAGCCCAACAACAACGGCAGCAACAAGTCTACATCAAGTTTTCACGTGTGTACACTCGTAAAAAATAGAGCTTAAAATAATATAATAAAAATAATAATATACATACTTTCTACAAAGGCATTCAAAGACAAGAGTTACGTAGAAAATAATATAAACTCTGTGATATAAATTACCTTATTTTTGTAGCATTTTTGAATAATATATAGTATGTTTTAAAATCTTAAAAAAATCGAACAAATTCTGTTTACTTTTTAAAATTTTTATTTAAAACTAATTGATTAAAAATGTTTAGATTTTATTATACATTATAGAATCAAATCAGAAATAAATCATAACTAAGCTAAATATTCGCATTCTTTTAATCGATATTTATCGATACTTTTATATGCCAATTTTAGCGCCAAATAATGCTTTTAAAAACTTTTTAAACTTTTAAAAATTCGGGAAGCTTTCCTATGTTATTTTTATTAGTACAATAAATCTGCATACTCAATATAAATTTAAAAAAAAAATTAAAATTGTTTCTATTTGTAAAATTTGGTGGAAAAAAAAATGAAAAGAATGTGGTAAAAAAATTTTCTGTCGGAGATGCCTAGATCGACTCGGCTTTTGATGCTGATCAAGAATATATATGACTTATAGGGTCGGAAATGACTCCTTCACATCGTAACAAGCTTCTTACTTAAATTATAATACCCTAAAAGGGGTTTAATAAACTTAAATTCTACTAAAAGTCCCCTTTATTTTCAATAAAATATTATAAAATATTTATAAATTTGATACTTCATATTTACTATTTTTCCAAGTGCCTTTAAAGAGAGATCCAATCCCTATCCCGATGGATCGGGCCAACGTAAATATACCCAAACATTAATATGCACGCATTTCGTGGCTCCACTGCCTCCACAGCGACTTGCTCCAGTCTCGGGTTACCCAGGCAGCCAGGCAGCCACGAGGAGGAGACCCAGATCCAGACCCATAAGCCAGGCCAAAACCCAAACCCAAATCCAAAGCCAAAGCCAAGAGCTCGTTGATCGCTGCTCCCAAAAACGAGGCAACGGATCGCAGCATTCGTGCCTGACTGCCTGCCTGCTTTCTTGCTAAACAATTTGCAAACGATTTCTAATAAGCGTCTTAAATTGTAACAAAATAGACGCGCATTTAGGGCCTTTTGTGTGCCTTCGTCTTGGCTTCTCGATAACAAAGATCGGGGCAATAAAAATAGGAAACTCGAAATAAAAAAATATGGCCAAAAACATGGACAGCCACACAAAAACGGGAGGGTAACTGCCTGGCTTGACCCTCTCCCTACCCAAAAAAAAGGGGGAAAAATATACAAATATAAAACCGAAGACCCAAGTCTGTATTTTGGCTTATTTTATTTTATTTTGCGCTTATTTTTTGTGGTGTGAATAGCGGGTCCAGTTGGGGTTACTATGATGAAGATCTTTGGGTTAGGCCGCCGACAATTTGACTGATTTTTTCGAGACCGGACCCCAAAAGCCTTTTGGTGACTTATTTATGGCAAATTAATATTCCTTGGCTTTTGGGTTCCACACGGGTTTCCGTTGGTGGGAAAATATTTAATAGATTTTAAGGGGAGATTTAAATTATCAGAGATGGGGGAATATATAGGAAGTTTAATGGTACTTTTGAAACATAAAAAACAACTAGAAAATGTATATAACAATAAAATAATAAATAGAAGAAGATATATAAATATATCGTATAATATAAATAAGTGCATTATAAATACTAAAAATATATATCCTTAGAAATATATAGTATAACAATAAAATATAAATGGAATAGCTCTAAATATAACCTTAGAACTTGAAGAATTGCATTCTGAAATAAATTTAGTTAAATATTAAGTTTTAAAATAAAAAACAAATACGATTATGAAGATTATAGGATAAGAAGATTAAAGCGTAAGATTTGTAAGTCCAGAGTTTTTAGAAATCTCAATTTTCTTATTATAATATTCTTTAAAATATGATATTCCCAAGAATAACAACTTATTGCCCATTTAAAATGAACAAAAGCCTTATTTTCTATTATTTTCTTTCTAAAAACTAATATACCCTTCTACCAATTTTACTCCCCATCCATTTCAATTCGTTAACAATAAACAAATATCACTTTCCTGACGTTTTTCGCAACCCCAAGCCGCTGTCTGTCTGCTCTTCCACCTTTTCGGGGCAGCCCCTCTAGGAAATCCCCCCTCAACGCAAGTCTCACTGATAAAAACCTGATGATTTTGGCCAAAAAGAAAAGAGGAAAAAAAGAGCTAGCTAGCTGCAACTATAATAATAAAGCAGCTAAAAGTCAAACGACAACGCAAAAAGGTAAACAGATCGCAGCTTTATGAATATGCAAAGATAAACAAAGCCCCCTTTTTTTGCGCCACCCTCAACCTCCGTCACCCTTTTGTCTCTATTGCTGAATAAAAAATAAAAACACTTTTTTTGAATTTCAAATTTTTTTAACGAGCTCAAAATGAAAAACTTTCCAAACAAAAGACAAAAACAAAAACACTTTTGCTTATATATATATGTATATATATATATACTTATAGACGATCGATCCAGAGAAATAAGAGAGGAATACAGGGAAGGGTATATTTTGGGGTAAACTCAACCACAAACAAAGAAAGGAAACTAGTTCGGGAAGCCGAATTTTATATACCCTTAAAATATAGGATTGTATTTGCAAATCGATCATAACAAAGCTTGAAATATTCGATTTTTAAATCAATATTTTTTCGAAATTTTATATGACGATATTTTCGTAAAATTAAAAGCTTAAACAACTCGTAAGTAAGCCAACAAAGCATTAATTTTAATTTGGAAAGCTGTTTTATGTTAGTTTTTATTAGTTTAATAAATCTGCATACTCAAATTAAAATTTAGAAATATTAAAATTTTTGTCAATTTTTTTATATTTTTAGTTTTCTCATTTTACCCCTAATAAAATTTTGGAAAATTTTTTAAATTTGT